TAATCAAAGTATGGCAAACATTTGTCCAATGTATCATTTGTTAGACATATAAATTTGTTTAAAATATAAATTATCATATGTTAAAAAGAGAAATATTCCAGTTTAAAATGTTGATAGATTTCTTTGAATTTTCTAATGCTTTGTTAAACTTGGTAAAGAGTTTGAATAATAATTTTAAATTAATGTTTGAAGAGAAATCAGGCAGTCAAACTGAATTCTGATAGAAACAAGAAAGAAAAACATGATTTGCGGTCAGAACAAATTAGCTGTAACAATGAATAGTTAAATTAGCTATACTAACAACAGAGGAAACAGCTTGTTCATCTCTCTTGCTGTTTTATATAAAATTTAGAAGTCTTCAGAGAAGAGAGCACACATGCAGTTTGAAGATGCTGCTTCAAATCAAACATAATTTATTGAAAATGAAACCATGTCCATCACTTCATGTAGTGCCATTGCAGAAGACTATTATATTTCAAGGCATTAGTAATATATTTTGATTTTCTCTTCATATTAGGATAATTCTAGAAGTTTATAGCTTATTCTAAACCTGCTTATTTATTTCATTCTTGCTAAAAAAAAAAAAAGGATGGGGGTATTCTTCAAACAAGGTACACTGCCTTATCAGAAGTTTGACTTCTGACTTCCGCTTCCAGATCAGGCAGCTTCAGCCATACGAAGAGCTGTCGCTCTTCGTTGGCTGCCTTTCTCTCTACCGATAGACCCTTATGCGGGTCTTAAATCATCCTGGAGGGGCGACCACCGTTGAGGAGGCTTTTGCTTGGCTGCGGTGGAGCGGCGGCTCCACCTACAGCCCAAGCTAATTCCATAGGGCCAATGGAGAAGATTGGTCAGTAAAATGGCTGATCACCTCGCTGTGCCAGCTGAAGTCAGAAAATCATCTAAGCATAAAGAACCACCATGGTGAATCCGGGTGAGACCTTTCCTTTCTCTCTCTGTCCTGAATTATTTTTCCTCCTACTTTGTTTTCTTTCTTTCTTTCTTTCTTTTTTTTGCATGCAAGAGCCCTGTTGGAATTATTTCCCTGGCTTGGAAAAGCAGCTTCTACTTGTTTGGGAAGGAAGGCGTGAACAAAAGAATATAACAAAATTTTAAAGACTACATTTTTTTTATAAATGTTTTGGGATACCGGAATTTTTTTTTTTCTTAAGAGCTGTGTTATCAGTTTATGCTGATTTCACAGGGATCGCCAAACAATGCAGTCTGCCATCTTTCCCCTTTTCCTTAGCTGTGCTACTCCCTTTTATTCTATTGGCTTTTGAAAGCCAATAGAATAGACTCTCTAATAGAGAGAGAATAGAGTCTAATTCTATTGGCTTTCAAAAGCCAATAGGAATTGTCCAGGCTGTCTCTGCCCTGCTGAGCCCGTCAAAAGCCCCAGTCTGCAAACGGTGCTGCAAGTTGTCTGCAGCGAAGGCGAGCTGTCTGGAAGCTTCCACCCCTCCCTGCTGAGCAACTACTAAAAATGTAAGTAAAAGAGGGCCAGGGGTGGGAGGTGGGAAGCCAGCAGGCGCAGGGAGGGTTGCTGGTGCGCGTGGGGCCCAGCAGGTGCCTTACTTCCCTTGGACTGGGCCAGCTGGTGGCCCAGCCGGTGGTCGCCCTGCGCCGTCACTGCCCCTTGCCAGCTACGCCTCAGCTGGCGCAGGGGGCGGCACCACCCGTGCATGGCACTCCCGGGCAGGGAAAGTCCTCGACTTACGACCGGTTGGATAGTCCTCAACTTACGACCAGTTGGGTAGTCCTCGACTTACGACCAGTTGGGGTCGTGGCATTAAAAAGGTTGAGAATCACTGGTTTATGCTATTGTTTTTTTTTCTTGCTGAGCGCTATTACTATCTTATATTGGAAGAGTATTTCTCCACTTTTTCCTTAAAAAATAGAAAGGGAAAAAATGACTCTTGAAAAAGATTTTTTAGCTTACTGAGGACATTTATTGGCCAAAAAACTAATATTGTAATTGTTGACTATTTGGAGAGGAGAGGTTTGGCTTTCAAACTGTGTTTTTTTTTTGAGAGAGAGATAGAGAGAAAGATAACCTGATCCAGCTGAATAACTTTTAAAATGGAGCTGCATTCACACTTAAATTGTAAACTTATTCTGGAAAAGATTTATGAGGCTAAAGAAGAAATATGTGCTATAATGAAAGAGTTTACTACAGAATTAAGAGCCAGAATCTCTCCTTTAAACTTCAAAATTGACTCTCAAACTACTTCTGATTATTCTATAAAACAGACTACATAAGAAGAGGACTTCACTGAGAATAAACAGAAATTGACTTTCCCTGATAAGCAGTTCACCTATGGTTTTGAGGACCAGGAAAAGCAAAGACTGAGATTTGAAATGTCAAAGTAATGAAATTTTATGTTAAGAGAAACAGAGGGCCAATGCAAAGGCCAAGATGGTTTACATGGATTCAAATGATACTGCAAGTGATAAAGAGAGACTTATCAGTTGGAAGGGAAGCTCTGTTATGGAAACCTACCTGGCAGAAGAAGAAGCCCAGAATAAGACTGAAAAGAAGTGAAATTTAAAATTTTATGTAATGAATTAAAAGCAATTTAGAATTATGGACTGAGTAAGGACTAAGATTATGAGCGAGATGTAAGAGAAATGGGTGATTAATGGAAGATATGTATTAAATTCACTAAGAATGTACTTTTTGAATTGATGGGTTTATCGATATGAAAATTATTATTTTTAATAAGATGATTTGTTTGTTTTATGTCCAATGGATTGAAATGATTTAAGGTTTGATATTATCTTTTAAGCTTAAAAAGTAAGAAAAAAGGGGCGATTAATGGAATATATATATTAAATTATTAAGAATGTGTTTTTAATTTTTTTTAGAATGATAGGTTTATTTGTAAGAAAATTATTATGTAATGTTGAGTTAACCTAATAAGATGATCTGTTTGTTTGATAACATGGATTGATTAGTTATGAAAATTAACTGGATGAAATTTGAATTCTGTCAAATGGATTGAAATGATTTAAGATTGGACTTTATTTTGTCACTTTAAAGAGATTGATTGATGGATGGATTAGATACATATAGGATAGATTAATATTTTATTTTAAATAAGGGATATTAGTGGAAGAAGAAAGAAATAAGATCTATGATAAAATTAAGGAATTAAAATATATTTGGAAGGGATACCCGAACTGATAAGGTTTGTACTTAAAGTTATTTTGATTATGGTAGTGTAAATTTATAAAGCTTTAAAAACAGGTTTAGGTTGAATAAATTTAAGATAGAATTGGGTTATTTTAAATATAATACATTACTTAAGGAAAAAAGAGAGGGAATATTTGATGTATTGATTGAATTATGTATATATGTTTGTTTGCGGATGTTTTTTTATTGAAAATTTTATAAACTTTTTACAATAAAATACCCCCCTCCCACCCCATAACCCTCCCCCCTCATTCCCAGAGCTGAATACAGGGTTAAAGAAACAAAAAAAAAACCATACAAATTAATCAACTATACATACATCCAAAAAATTTAAAATACTTTAACTCCAATACATAGAAACCACAAATCCAACCATACCCACTAAACTATAAATTATTCAAAAACTAAATAATATTTGCTAATCCCATATTTATTCTGTACAAAATTTACCCATCTTTTCCACACATAAATATATCTCTCTTGTGAATGGTCTTTCAGATAAGCCGAATTTTTTGCCATTTCTGATAAATAAGAAACTTTAAGAAACCATTCTTCTATAGTAGGCAAGGAATCCTTCTTCCAATATTGCCCAATCAGCAACCTTGCCACCGTAATAAAATTTAACATTAAGGTAATCTCTTTACCATCACAATCTACAATAATACCTAACAAAAATAGTTGTGGTGTAAATTTTATCCTTCTATTAAAAATCTTTTGAATGTTCCACCAAATCTTAATCCAAAAAGCCTTTACATTTCTAGAGATGACCACCAAATATGATAATATGTTGCATCCAAACAACCACATCTCCAACATTTGGGCTGTACATTCGGATACATACGAGACAACTTTTGTGGATCAAGGTGCCGCATCATAATACAATTTCAAATTCGGCACCTTGAATCCTCCTCTCTCTCGAACATCTTGTATAATTTTAAGCTTCACTCTTGTTTTTTCCCCAGCCCGAATGAATCTATTAATACCCTTCTGCCATTCTTCCAAATTTACCTCTTTCTTTAAGATGGGTATCATTTGAAACAAGAAAAGAAATTTTGGCAGAACATTCATTTTAACTGCAGCAATTCTCCCTAACAAAGATAATTGCAGTTTTTTCCAATCATTCAAATCCTTCTGCATTTTAAGCCATGGATGTTTGACCACCCTAACACCACGGTGTGTCTTGAGTACTTTGTTTTAAAAATAAAAAAAACCAATAAAACTTGTCTTAAAAAAAAAGAAGTTTGATTTCCCTCCCAGAGTTATCTAGCCAAATTTGAGATTTTGCAATCTTTTATCCAGATAAGCAAGACCATGAAAGTTTGTGCCAAATTTTACTAAAAGCTATGAAAATTGCTCATTAAGGTGGAGCATCTGCAGAGACTTGAGTATTCAATGCTGTGTACAAAGGCCTTGGATAATCTTTGCTACATGAAACGAGGCTCCCAGCAGATGAAGAAAGATCACCTTGTTGGTACATTGCTGTCTGATTTACTTGTTACAGCTAAACAATAAAGTTTAAATTTTTTCTTACCATTTAGTGTGTTCATTGCTTATGGATTCTCAAAAAACACTTTTGGCAAAATACTTCATTAGAATAAGAATATCAACTGAAAGCTGGAAATCCTTGCATAAATCAACACACTTTATTGTATGTTAGAGTTCCCTACTGGGAAATGTGATTAAAAATATTGTGATCTTACAATCTGTAATAAATTATGTAAAATGCAAATTAATATTTAAAATATCTATACATTATTGTTCTTAATGATAAATTCATCTAAACAGTGCAACCTTTATGTCATACCTTCTGGAGAATGGTGGTAGCAAGCTCTTCTATCAGTTCTTCTTTATGATCTTGCAAGTAGCAAGCTTCATGCTGTTTGTCCTCAAAAAGGTAAGCATTCATTATAAATATACAGAAATTTCCAATTTTAAAATGTGCAGAATGGTTTATCAAACACTATAGAATAAATCCCATTTTGCAAAATTAAATCCATTACGCTCATTATGGATTTGCTTAATTGTTTTGTATGTGTGTGTGTATGTGTGTGTATATGTGTGTATCTTGGAAGCATGTCCAGGATTTGTCCACCTCTCTATGGTCACAGGAGATAGGGTATGCTTGTATACCTATCTGTGTATATACAGAGCACATTGGAACATGACAATCTTTTGATTCGTCTTTGGAGAATACATTATTTTGGAAGACTCTGCTTATGGTTCCATTTGGGCATGATTAACACAGCGGTCAGACCTAGGAGCCCCTGGTGATAATGTACTAATTACTAAACACTCTCCCAAGGAAATTCCAGCTGGTCTTCCTGATGTCTTCTTTTAATGATAATTGAACACAAATCTGTTCAACCAAATATTTCTGGAGTAGCAATTATTTTTAAAAATAAATTTTAGTCTTGGTATTTGTATGTTTCTTGTCTTAAAGAATGGGGAATATGTTGCCTATTTTTACTTGTGGCCACTTTGGAGAAAGAATATAGAAAATTAAATATTGCTGCTGTGATAATAAAAAAGAGGAGGGAAATGGCATATGAATGAATAATTGAAATGATAAAATGTAAAATAACTAAAAATGAAAAAGAATACAATAAAATAATGGAATAGAATAAACTATAATAATATTGGTTTGTAAATTTACTGCCTTTGCTATCTGAGCAAAAATACACACTACCAGAAAGAATACTTTTTTTATTAAATAGAAAAAAAAAAATTCTTACCAAGCTGTCACTGTAGGTCTCTGCTTTGGAAATAGCTTCTTCTATTACTTCTTCTGCAACATGCAAGGCTACAGCAACAGTGCTTAACATGCTATATCCTAGGCAAGGAAGTTAAAAAGTACTCATGATATTTATACAAGGGAAAAAATAATTGAGATAGAAATGAAGCCCACAACTGCTTTCCCCAAAAAAGGGATCCTCCCCATCAACAATTCACAGCTGCAAACCAGGTAAAGGTTTCTCCTTTCAGTATTATACAATATTTCTTCTAGCCAGTGAATGTCAACTATCTCACTAGGTTAGACAGCAAGAGAAACTCATGGGACATTTTTTTTTTTTTTTACCAAGAGTATAACTTTACTGAAGATTCCATGTGGTTATAGAAGTAGAAAAGCCTGTTCTAACGATTCACTCATAAACAGCATAGAAAAACTTTCCCTTTTCCCTCTGGACTTCCCATTATCTATTGTCTCCCAATCATTTGCACTCTCTTTGACTTGGGAACAATCTATCTGCCTGTAATTCCCCAGCTGAGTGACCTTGAGGTGTTGGGTCTGTCTCAGGTTTCCAGTAGGCACACTTGCATTTTAAATTTCCTTCCCAAACCTCCCTTACATTCCAATGGATTCCCTCACTCCTCCCATTACAGTTGTCCTGTTGTAAGCGGGGCTGTGTAGTGAGTCAACCATGACAGTTCGTGCCCAAAGAAAATATTTTTATTTTTAACACAAACAAATGCAGAAACCCTTTTAGTTATAATTAAATTACAAAACAATGTGTATGAATACATCACTATTAAAAACAATTATATTAGAAATGCAATAAATCAAATTTTATCCATCAAAAATGTTGAAAACTATGCATAGTACTTGCAATGTAAGTCATTCATTCTAGAGGGTATAAAAATCAATTTTTATTCAGCATACAAAACATACTATATTTTCATAGGAAAAAAGCGAGATATGGTGAAAAGAAAAAATATTTACAAAAATATAAACAGGTTTTAAGTTATTGTCACTAATGACATATATTTATGCCAGGTTATTTCACTGCAATTCAAATATTTTATTTACAGTTAAAACTAACAGTAAAATTTAAGGATCATTACCTTCTGTCTGTTTGTAGAAAACAGAATCACTGTCACATTTGTTTTCTTCACTTACTGTGGTTGCTTCATAAAAATGTCCTGTTTCTGGAAAAGAAAAACAATACTTTCCAATGTCATCAATATATAATATCTGGATAGAAGGGTCCTCTTTAGAATTGGCCAGTAATTTCCAAACCACCATTCCACATGTGTTGCATTTTACCTCCTACAATTCCCAGCTAATATTATTATCTGGCAATTCTGGAAAATGAATGCTAATACACACAGAAAACATTTGTTTGGGAATGCCTGCTGTAATTCTATTATCATCTGAAGGGACAGCATTATACCAACCTTCAAGGAAAAGGTATAAATTCCTGTAATTTCTTCAGGAAATTAGCTATGAATAAGGACAAAACTAAACATTGGGTCCATCACATGATTTAAATATTGTTGACTGAAGTAAAAGATAGAACCTGAAGTTAAGAAAAAAGGATTGCACAAAAATACATAATGAATTTTAAAGGTCATGGTTTCATGTGAAGAGAGATGTTTAATTACTCTTCCACTCAAATGGAAGGAGTAAATGATATTATTATTATCTTGCTTTGGGAAGAATTAAAAATGAAACAGATCAGCAATAATAATAATAATAATAATAATAATAATAATAATAATAATAATAATAATAATATTGGAAGGGGCCTTGGAGGTCATCTAGTCTAATCCCCTGCTCAGGCAGGAAACCCTATACCATTTCAGTTGGCACTAATAAAACGAAAAGGATTGTTTATGTAAATTTATGTAAAAGAAGCTATCTCAAACAAATTAGAAAAGTAAATGAAGCCTACACTTTGCAACTAAAATGCAATCTAGCTTAGCTTTTGGTTCATTATTCCTTTTTCCATGTTTCTTAAAATGGCCAATGAGACCTTTTCTGACTCAAAGTTCTTTACCCAATACATTGTGGCAAACAGTGGCTGAACTGCAACCATTTGTGGGGCAGCAGTTAGAGTGCAGTACTGCAGGCCACTTTAGCTGACTGTGTTCAGCAGGTCAGCGGTTCAAATCTCACCGGCTCAAGGTTGACTCAGCCTTCCATCCTTCCGGGGTAGGTAAAATGAGGACCCAGATTGTTGGGGGCAATGTAAATATATATATACATTGCTTACTGGTGTACACCGCTTAGAGAGTGCTTGCACTTAAAGTGGTATATAAGTCTCATAAATAAATAAATAAATTTGCCAATACAAATTATTTCATCTTTGACTTCTGTAAAAACAGAATATTATAGGTGAGAAATCCCAAGAACTGTTTATAATAGTAATTAAAAAATAATATATATTCTATTCTGTATAGCCATCAATTTATGTCAATGAATATAACAGGGAATATGTGCATACATATACTATGTATATTTATATGTGCATGACTATAATCACAGAATTCTAATCTGTACTCTAACTAAAATATTTTAAAATTACAATTATAAAGTATTAATGTTTAAAAACAAGGCACCTCCAAGAACTGAACATGAATTTCTGCATTTACTGTCCAGATTGTCCTCGACTTACAACAGTTTGTTAGTGACCGTTCAAGTTACAATGGCAATGAAAAAAATGATTTTCATATGACCATTCCAGTATCCTCATGGTCATGTGATCAAAATTCAGATACTTAGCAGCTGGTTCATATTTATGATAGTTGCAGTGTCTGGTGGCCATGTGATCAGCTTTTGGGGAAGCTGATTCACTTAACAACCATGTTACTAACAACTGCAATGTTTCACTTAACAACTGTGCAAGAAAAGTTGTAAAATGGGGCAAAACACTTAACCAATGTCTCACTTAGCAATATAAATTTTGGACTCAATTTTGGGCGTAAGTTGAGGACTACCTGTATCTTGCAGTTCCAGGGCAAGATTTATTTGCATGATGACACAAAATGCCAATCTATTCACATACAATGCTTGACTCTCTTTTTTTCTTGAGATACAATAATAATACTTTGATCACTGCACCATAGGTAAGCCCCACATTTGTATGAGTATTCATGGTAGAGAAATGCTTATTTTGGCTATTTTTCTCTCTACCTAGTATGTCACAGCAAGTTCCAGTTTCCAAGCGATGTTTTCTATATAAATTCTTCAGAACTTTAGCACTTCCAAAACGTTTGAAGCGACTTTTCACATTATTGTAATACCATTCCAGGGACTGAGCTCTTAGAAGTCTGAAGGGAAAAAAAAGAAATTTCAGAAACCTTAGAATTACTGAAGTAAATGTACCATAGTAGAAATTCTTTCAAAACAATTTATATTTTTGAATAGTTTCAGGGAGGCTCTGTTTGCTTGAAAGTAAGTAATGTGAAAGACACATTTTATTTTTATTTTGTGGTTTGCTTTTCTGTACTTTTCCTGATTTTCAAGTTGAATACATTTGTTACATATAGGTTTAAGGCACATTATAGATTTAAAGCCCAGTAAATTAATTATGATAATAATTGAAGTTATTGATATAGAATGGAATGGGTGTTAAAATTCCAATATTCTTACATAAAATGGGGCGTTGTCTTACCTGAATGCCTTTTCTCAGCACGGAGATGGAGAATCCACCAATGGGTTTAGACTGTGTTCCTGCCCAATCAGATCAAGTCAGCCAAAGTTGCAACACTTGTCCTGGGCTAGAGTGTCCCAGTCTTGATGCAGGTGAAGCCATGACTGACAGCAAGATGTGTTGGCTCATAAATCTAGCCCTAGGCCTAAATCACCTGCGAGGGCGGGAGTGGATTCTCTATCTCTGTGCTGAGAAAAGGCATTCAGGTACGACAACGCCCCTTCTCCAGCACTGGAGATGGAGAATCCACCAATGGGACATACCAAAGCCTACTGTCCCTGAGGGAGGGAAGCAGGCCGGTCCGGAATGGCACTTTGAGGTACTACCTGTTGAAGAACCCTCCTACCAAAGGAGGCCTCCGCTGAGGCTAACCTATCAATCTTATAATGCCTTATAAAAGGAGATGGTGAAGACCATGTGGCCGCTTTGCAAACGTCTTCGATGGACACCTGAAGTATCCACACTATGGGTTGAGTGGGCCATGACCTGTCATGGAACTTGCAATGACTCAGCCTGATACGCTCCCGCTATACACGCCTTAATCCACCTGCCAATCGTGGAAGAAGACACCTTCCGACCCTTGGAAGAAGGATAGAAGGAGACAAAGAGGGCCTCAGAGTTGCGGAAGGTAGCTGTCAGTGAGATGTAGTAACGGAGCGCTCTGCGGACATCCAGACAGTACCATTGCCATTCCAGGGCATGAGATGGGTGAGGACAGAAATCTGGGAGTACGATTTCTTGAGCCCTGTGGAAAAGAGAATTGACCTTAGGAAGGAAGGTAGGGTCCAGACAAAGGACCACCCAGTCCTGGTGAAAAAAGCACAAGTCATCTCTGATTGAAAGTGCCGCCAATTCTGATATTCGTCGCATTCCTGATTGCCACCAGGAATGCGACCTTGTGTGATACGTAACGTATATCACATGTCTTGAGGGGCTCAAAGGGCGGTCTGGTTAGAGCCCGAAGAAGGCAGGTCCCAAGAAGGATACCTCTGCACTACAGGGGGCTTGGTGTTAGTAGCACCCTTGATGAATGAGCGGATCAAGGGATGATGACCTAGGGAAACCACGGAGTCACAGATAAGTACAGTGGAGAGAGCGGCGACTTGTCTGTGCAATGTATTTGGAGCCAAGCCCCTCTCCAGACCCTGTAAAAGGTAATCCAATATATGTGGAATTGTCAAGTCTGGAATGGTCAAGTGGTGGTTTGAGCACTACGAACAGAAGTTCCTCCACGTGGCCTCATAAATATGGTTGGTAGAGGACCGATGGGAGGCCTGGATTATAGTAATGACCCCCGGTGAGCAGGACTCTTGGGACAAGATTGAGCGCTCAAGTGCCAGATGACTAACTCGAGCCATTGGGGATCTGGATGAAGAAGGGTACCTTGGCTGAGTAAGACCCGATCTAGGGGACCTCCATGGGGCCACTAGAGAGAGGTTCACGAGGTCGGTGAACCATAGTCTCCGTGGCCAATATGGGGCCACTAGAAGAACCTCCGCATGTTCCCGAAAAAGTTTGCGGACAACCGCCGGAAGAAGAGGAAGAGGAGGGAAGGCGTAAAGCAGTCCTTCCAGCCACATGCTCCGAAGAGCATCCACCCGTTACGCCCCTGGAGATGGAAAGCGGGAAAAGAATCGCTGGGTATGAGCGTTTGTCAGGGAGGCAAAAAGGTCTAGAACTGCCAATGCGAAGCAGTGGCAGATCTCCCTGAAGATCCTCGGGTGCAGGCGCCATTCCAAATGGTTCACTGTCGCCCGGCTCAAGAAGTCGGCCTGAGTGTTTGCCTCCCCTGAAATGTGGTCGGCCTTGATGGAGGCCAGGTTGGCTTCTGCCAGGAGGCCAGCAGGAGTGCCTCGGTCAAGAGTGCATGAGATCAGATGCCCCCTTGCCGATTCATGTGTGCCTTGACAGCCACTTTGTTTGTGAGGACCAGAATGTGATGCTTTGCCACTGTGCTGCGAAAGTGGCAGAGGGCCAGGTGCACGGCCCTGAGCTCCAGCCAGTTGATACTGTGCCAAAAATCGGAGCAGGACCAACAGCCCTGGGCCCACTGTGAGCGAAGGTGCGCTCCCCAGCTGAACAGGCTGGCATCAGTCATAAGAGTGAGTTGATCGGGCTCCTTGAAGTAAGACCCCTTGACCATGGCCGATGAGAGCCACCATGTGAGGGATCGTGAGACGTGAAGTGGAAATCTCACCCTTCGATTGGAGAAAATGATGTTCAGTATCTGGGAGGGGAGCAGGAACCACTGGAGGTTCCTGGAATGGAGCCTGGCCCAAGGTACAATCACAATGGATGAGATCATCTTCCCCAGTAATTGGGAGAGGCTGGCCAATGTTACCGTTCAACCTCTGCGCAATTGGAGAATCGACTCCCTGATGCTGTCCCGGCATTCTTGGGATAAATAGACCTGGCATTCCACCGTGTCTATGGTGGCCCCTAGGTGTAATAACCTTGTTGCGGGGAACATATGGCTCTTGGAAAGTTTACCGAGAACCCATGATTCTGGAGCAGTATTATCACCAGTTCAAGATCTGCCTGAGCAGCCTGGATCGACGACAACTGGATTAGAATGTCGTCCAGGTAGCACTGGACTCTGACTGGTACCATTCTCAGGTGAGCTGCTAGAACCGCCAGGATCTTGGTAAAGACTCTCGGAGCCGAGGATAGGTCGAATGGGAGTGCCCTGTACTGATAATGGTGTCCCCAAATCATAGGCAGTGGGTGAGAGAGATGGGGATGTGAAGGTATGCTTCCGTGAGGTTGATGGACATCAGGAAGTCCCCCCTTCATGTGCTTCCCAAGATGGACTGGAGCGTTTGCATCTTGAATTTGTGGTATGCAAGATGATAGTTTAATCTCTTTAGATCTAGGATGGCTCTCCATCCCCCTGATGCATTGGGAATGATGAAGAGAATGGAGTAAAACTCCCGACCTCTCTGATCCAATGGCACCGGTTCTATGGCCCGTATGTTTAAGAGGTGATGAATGGCCTCTCGCATGAGTCTTTTCTTTGTTGGATTTCTTAGTTGGGGACAAGAAATGAAGCGATTCGGGGGGTTGGAGATGAACTCCAGGGACAGTCATGATGCACAGTGTTTAGGACCCATGCATCTGTGGTGGTGGCTTCCCACTGGCGGGCAAAGAGAGAGACTCTGCCCCCAAAGGGAGGATCCGCCTGAGAGTCACCTGATCGGCAGAATGGGTGACCGCTCCCACAAAAGGGCCGTTTGCCCTGAAATTGTTGCCTGGGTCTGGAAACCTGTCTATCAGATTGTCTGTCCTGTCTGTCTTGTCTGATAGGGAAAGATCGGTTGGGCTGGGAATAGTTGGACCTGGCTCCTGCACGAAAGGACTGCCTCCGTGAGTAGGTGTTGGGACGTTTGTCTGATCATTTAAGGAGGTGATTAAGGACCTTACGTTTATCCTTATTTTCATTGAGGTAAGGATTCAGGGCTTCACCAAACAATTTTCCTCCCTAATAAGGGGCTGCTGATAAGCGCCATTTGGACTTGGCGTAAGCGTGCCAGTGTTTCAACCAGAGTATACAGCGGCCAGTGATGTTGGATGCCATGGCTCTGGAGGAAAATCTGGCAGCCTGGAGGGTGGCATCAGAAGCATACTCTGTAGCTGCCACCATCTTACTCAGATCTTGATGTGTGCGGATATCCTCCATCGGTATCCTGGCCTGAAGCTATCTAAGCCAGCAGAGAGCAAACCTGTTAAAAAAGGATGCAGAGGTAGCTGCTCTGATAGCCAACACTGCAGCTTGATGTGTTCTGTGGTACGAGAGCTCACATTTATGGTCCTCAGCCTTGAGGGCCTCAGAAACATTGCCAGGAATGATGATTGGAGACACAAGGGGACCTAAAGGTTCATCTACCGTGGGCACCTCCAGAGCCTCCTCCAAGTCATGGGCCACATTATAAAGCCTTTTATCATTGCTACTTGGAAGGGGAAAAGAGCCGGGGATACCCACTGCTTTTGGACCGTGTTGAGGAACATGGGTGGACAAGGAATGCGGTATTGTGTTGTTACCAGTTCAGTGAAATTCGGATCCGCCTTCAAGTCTGGAGTAACTGAAGTTGCCAGCGTGGAAGGATCGGGTCCGAGATGTGCCGTGGAAGTGGCCTTGCGAAGCAGGGGGACAAAAAAAGAAGGGTTAAAGAGACTGCTAAGTGATGGTGTCCCAGGGGGAGGTTCCTCCTCCTCAGACATCGGAATCTCCAGATCAGCCTCGTATTCGCAAGATGATGAGTTCCCGGAGTAGGTGGATTGAGAAGGGAAAGAAGGCGTGCGATAGGACTCAGAGACCAGCTGGTGAGTGGGTAGAAAGTTGACCGCGGCTGACCTAGTTGCTTACAATCTGGCCTCAAGGGCACACTCTACCGCCTGTGCAATCATCTCAGCTAGGCGGTCGTCTGTGGGAAGGGAGACCGGTTCACTTGGCCTAAGCCCGGCCGCAGTAGGGGCCACGTGTTGAGCCCGTGAAGTGGAGGGCTGAGCAATGGGATGAACCCGGTCTGTGTCCCCTGGTGCAGGAGACAGGAGAGGTTCTCCTGTCAACCATATCCCCAGGGGAGAAACAGAAGGCCCCAGGGGTAGATCAAAGGAAGGCACTTCGGCCTGTGAGGTCTCCAACCTGGCTAGTTTCTGCACTTTAGAGAATTCCTTCTCTAGAGCTTGGTGTCTCCTGCTAGCCTGTTTTTCAGCTCCCTTGGAGGTCTTTGAGGTAGACCTGGCCTTGGCCTTGGCCAAGATCTTACCTGCGGCCTCTTGATTAGAGGATTTGTGGCGTTTTGCAGTCGAGGAGGACAGCAAGACATCCTTTGTGGAGGGCCTAGACTCCTCCATTCTCGGGTAACACAGGAGCATGATAGGGAACCCCTGGTATCCGGAGACAGCTATTGGTTGGATAAGAACAGGTGCACAATAGGGGACACCTGGAATCCAGATAGCTCTGATTGTGTGGATAAGAACAGGCGCACGGTAGGGGATACCTGGTATCCAGACAAAGATGTTTGTGTGGATAAGAACAGGCACACAATAGGGGATGCCTGGAACCCAGATAGAGCTGTTATATGATTAGGCCCAGGATCACAATAGGATAATCCTGGTTTTCAGGGAGACCTGGAGACACCAAAAACCCAGAAATTGAATCCAATGAGGTTAAACGCATGGGAAAGAAGGAGCAAACCGGATAGAACCAATCCTGTTAAGCAGGCTATGAAATGGATATGTTACAGACCTGAGTGGCTGTGGAGATCAAATACTGACTGAGGTCTGACAGACCTTGGAATGGTGTGGAGACACCACTGATTAGCTAGGTAAGGTGTATTTAGAGCAGATGAAGGAAGTAGGCCTGAAGAGTCTAGCAGGCCTGTTCTGAGGCAACAGTGGCCGTGCAGGGTCCCTGTGCAAAGTGAGGATCCAGGGGCCTCAAACGGTGGCCGCAGGGGAGAAAAGAGCGCAGAGCAGGCCCCAAGATAGCGGCCTCAAGAAAGACCCAGTCCCAATAAGGGACAGAAAAAGGCAGCCACACCCAAAAAGGCTGCCACACTCCGAATGGCAGCTCAAAATGGCGGCCACACTCAGAAAGGCTGCCACATTCAAAATGGCCACAACAAAAATGGCCGCCATACTCAAAATGGCGGCTGCACAAGGTCTGGGGGTATTGCTGCCGGCATCTCCTTCCACCCTCATGAAGAAAGGCTGGAAAAGAGGTAATCGGCTTCCAAATATGCGCCAGCTGCAAACGATCGTTTTTAGCCTTCACGCATGTTTGGAGGCTTTTCCAGGCAATGGGGAACTGTGGAGGGCTGAGGAGCAGCACTGAGCCCAGTGCTGTCCAAGAGGAGAAGGAGGGCTGTGTTACAGAGGGGAAGCAAGTTCCCTCAGCCTCAAGCCTTAATGGTTGGAAGTGGGGGGGGGAGGAATGAAAGCCTCCGTTCCTAGTTAAATGCAAACAGTTCTTCAGCCAACTGAGAGGAAAAACACAGTGCTGAATACAGCACTGTCTCGGAATACTGAAGAGAATAGAGAATAAAGAATCCACCAATGGAAACTGTACCTGCCTAAGAGCCAACTTTCTACGTCTGTCTTGCGCAAGATCAAGTCGAGACTGGGACACTCTAGCCCAAGACAGGTATTGCAACTTTGGCTGACTTGAACTGATTGGGCAGGAACACAGTCTAAACCCATTGATGGATACTCCATCTCCAGTGCTGGAGAATATATGAGACAAAATAGAAGAACTGTATCCTGAATATGCAAATACTATTTGGATAGAAAAAGCAGTATGATTATGTATCTTATCTCATGAATTTGTGCAGAATTACTTTAAACCAGAAGTGTCAAACTGCCGGCCCATGGGCTGGATGCATCATGCCAAAACCGCGCCCCCATTGCCGGCAATGAGAAAAAAGTTGTGACACATCACATGACATCATGAGTTTGAAACCCGTGCTTTAAAAAGTAATGGTGAAACTGCTAGCTAATCTTCATCCTTTGAAGTAAACAGCAAGAACAGACATCCCTTCACTCACTATAAAAATGGTATTTACAGACTTTTAAAAATATTTGGTGCATGGAATTAGGTGCAAAGATGCAGAGATCAGAGGTGAAATCAATATGACTAAATTAATAAAAACTCTTCATCTTAATGATTGAACTGGTGTGAGATCTTCTGATCCTTTCTTAATTATACCATAAGTATAATGGTCTATTCAGAGATTGAAAGAGTTTGTCTAGTTCACTTCTACTATTCTGTACCTATGTGAAGGGATCTTCTCCAGGCTGATGTTTGCACATTATGAGAACTAGAACTCCCCAAATTTCCAGATGATGAATGGAATCTAGGAATTATCAGAGTTCCAATGAGAGCATCATCAGACTAGTGAAGATTCAATTAGATTGCATGGCCATTGAACAACTATTGAGTGTGTGTGTGTGTGTGTGAGTGTGTGTGTGTGTGTGAGAGAGAGAGAGAGAGAGAGAGAGAGAGAGAGAGAGAGAGAGACTGAGAGAGAGAGAGAGAAGAAAGAGAAATCTATTGGGGAAAAGGCAGTTTTATCATGAGCAGATATGTGTACACATAATCTGTAGTCATTCTGTAAAAAAAGCAAGGTTTGTATTTCTTTAGATCGAATTCAAATATGATCAATTTATTAACAGTACCTGCCACTAGGGAAATATGGAGATACACTCATTGCTTGTCCCTGGTGTAAAGAAAATGTCTGCTTTAGAATATTTGAACAGTAGTGCCAATTTCCTCCTTCCTCTATTAACAGATCCATTGATCCAAGAGCAAGACGTATCGTATAGCAGTCTTCCGATGTGGCAGTTCATGACAAAAGTAACAATCATACTATTCAAATGATATAAAACATGTTTTCCTCAATATTGTTTTATAAAGGAAAAAGTAGTTTATGAAATAAATTGTGGAAAAGAATTATTCGTATGACTATCTCTCTAGAGTTTCACACATGAATATAATTAAAAATTGCCTAACGCAATAATGTTATATTCTGATACATGAAATCTCAACAATAGATTATGCATATATCTTTACATCAAAAATGTATTTTATGTAATGTATCAAAAAATAATGGCAGATGATGAGAAATTGATAAAATTATCTTGAATGGGATAGGACAGCTGAGCTCTTGAAAAGAAAAAAATATATACCACTAAATATCTTACATATATATTTTGACATTAAATCGTGCATCTTCATTTTTTATTATAATTTCACTTTCACCATGATAGATATTGCAGTTTTGGGGAACATCCTCATATAATTTCTGGATCAAACAAGACATGAGGAATGCAATAGCTGTATTCAGCCCATATAGACATATTATCTTTCATCTACCAACATTTAGAGTTTATATTTTAATAGTATGCAATCACATGATATCAAAAGTCCATCTATCTGAATTATAGAACTCTCTAGGCTACAACTGTTCTACAGTAAGCAATCAGTTAACTATAGATTAAAACACATTTGAGAATATGATCAAGAAATTAAATGATTTTTTAAAATTATTAATTTACCATATAGAAAACTCCTCTAGCCCTAAGGACAGCAAGTGTATGCATGGTCAGGAACAAAACAACACACAAAACAGATTATTCAAGAAACTGAAGAAGACTTATCTTTCTTTTCTCCAATGCACACATACACATACTGTACATATAAATGTATAAATACTCCTAGAAAACTTCCATTTTTCCTTATGTTGCATATTATGTTCAGCTTACTTTTAAGTTAGCTAGCTAATTGCAGTGCATTTTCTACATAGGCTCTTTTTCTGATACATATTTTCAAATACACTTCATGTATTTGAAAATATGCCTCTGCTTAATGTTCAAATGGTCAGACATTTTGCCTACATGTTAATTTAAAGAAATCTCTATTCTACTGAACAGATTGCAATGATTTTTCCATAACCATTCTGCCTCTTAATATTCTGAGAAATCACAGTATTTCTCTTGCATATGAGATTTGAAGAAATACTACCTATTCCCAAAACAATAAGTTATGCAATAAATCTTCCACTCAAAGGAAAGGAGACAATCTATTTATTTCAGAATTTTAATGTTGATCTACAGTTCCAAAAATATAGATAACATATTGTGCAAATGCAATCAAAATACAATTGTTATGTACTTTGATTTTTTAAAAAACGTCCATTTCAAAAACTCTATGTGGAAGAACTTCCTTCCATTTAATAATATCTCAATTTGTGATAATTCTCTCTATAGACACCTCTATATGGCACTTTATCCTGACAGCTGTTCTGTTCTCTCACTTGCAAGTTCTTTCTCTTCTACTCTCCGACATGAGAGGATTTCCTTCCAACTTTAAAGAACATTACTATTCTCATGTTAAAAGCAAAAAAATAGCAATAGCTTTTTGATTTCTTTTGGTGCAAATATAGCACTATACAAAACCCTGAATCCCCAAACATATTATTTTGCATAAAATTATCTCTTCAATTAAATTCAATTACTAAATTATTTTAAAAATAAATATTTTGATTTAGTATAGAAATTATATGTGATGCAATATATCAGTATGTCTATTAGTACTGAAAAATGGAAGGAATATAGAATTCATTTATGAAGCCAAGCTAAAAGAGTGGGCAGAAATAATGAAAAAAAATATAGAAATTATATAGAGAAAATGGTAATTATTGGTAATTATCCTTCATGTTTAGCAGTAAAAAGTCAAATTTTGTATGGACAATACAAACACCACACATTTAAACCAATCTACTTCAATTTAAGTAGCAATGCAAGAATTCTGACATCTTTAACTTACATTTATTAAAATACTGTGATGGCTTTTGGAAATAATACTGAAACTAACAAGAAGAGTATGCTTATTTCCTCTGCATTTTTAGGGAAGCCTTTTATTATATAAATATGTGACAAATTTAATAATTTCTAACTTAACACTGCTACTACTCACATTCACAGCTTCTGGAGGCTGGTTGTTCCACTGATTACTTGTTTTAACTGTCAGAAAATTTCTCTTTAGTTCTAGATTGCTTCTCTCTTTGTTAGTTTCCATTTGTTGCTTCTTGTCTTGCCTTCAGGTACTTTGGAGAATAGCTTGACTCCCTCTTCTTTGTGGCAATTCCTAAGATATTGGAATACTGCTATCATGTCTCCCCTCGTCTTTCTCTTCATTAGACTAGACATACCCAATTCCAGCAACTGTTCTCAACATCTTTTTTACATCGTGGTGACCAAAACTGGATGCAGTCTTCCAAGTGTAGCCTTACCAAGGCATTGTAAAGTGGTATTAACACTTCACATGATCTTGATTCTATTCCTCTGTTAATGCAGCCTAGCATTGTGTTGGCTTTTTTGGCAACCGCAGTATACTGCTGGCTCATATTTAAGTGATTGTCCACTAGGACTCCAAGATCCCTCTCATAGTTGCTACTATTGAGCAAGGTACCACCTATACTATACCTGTGCATTTGCCTTTTTTTCCTAAATGTAGAAATTTACTTTTTTCATCACTGAATTTCATTTTGTTAGATAGTGCCCAATATTCAAGTCCGTCAAGATCCTTCTGTATCTTAAGCCTATCTTCTGGAGTGTTGGCTATTCCTGCCAGTTTGGTGTCGTCTGCAACTTTGATGAGATCCCCCATCTATCCCCTCATCCAAATCATTGATGAAGATGTTGAAGAGCACTGGGCCCAGAACTGAACCCTGGGGCACCCCACTATACACTTCCCTCCATGTAGATGCAGTTCCATTGAGGACCACATGCTGAGTATGGCCAGTCAGCCAGCTACAAATCCATCTGGTCGTGATGCTGTCTAACCCACATTTTTCTATCTTATCAAGTAGTAGGTTGTGGTCTACTTTATCAAATGCCTTACTGAAGTCCAAGTAAATTATATCAACAGCATTCCTCTCGTCCACTAATTTTGTTACTTGCTCAGATAATGCAATAAGATTTGTCTGGCATGATCTGTTTTTGACAAACCCATGTTGGCTTTTGGTAAATGACTTTGTTTGCCTCTAGGTGTTCGCTGATTCATTGCTTGATTATCTTTTCCAAGATCTTCCCAAGTATTGAGGTTAGGCTGATAGGTCTATAGTTTCCTGCATCCATGTTTTTTTCATTTGTTGAAGGAACAACTACTTCAGCTCTTTTCCATCCTCTGGTAATTCCCCGGTGCTCCAAGATCTTTGAAAGATACAGTTCAGTGGTTCTGAGATCACATCAGCCAGTTCCTTCAGAATCTTGGGGTGTAATCCATCTGGTCCTGGTGATTTGAACTCATCTAGGATGAACAGATGCTCACTTACCATTTTCTTGCCTATCGTAAGTTGTGTTTCTAGTCTGTTTTTTATGGTACTGTTTTGGATAGGTTGGACTATTTTTCCCCTTTGTGTAAATATGGATGCAAAAAATGAGTTGAGAACAGGTAGTCCTTGAATTACGAATGGAATGAGGCCTACCCATTCCACTTGAAAACTTGTAGAGTGAATCTTGTACCTTTAGTGAGATCACTGTCTTGCTTGTTAAAACATACGTTGCTCGTTAAGCAAACTTGACTATCTCAGTGTGGGGAAGGCCATGGAGGGTCTAGTGATGTAACAGGCTCCCAAGGCCTCCCCAACCCACTAAGATAACTCATGCTTCCCCCTCCTTTCATTCTGCACGGGACTCACCTGGAAAAGGTCTGTCTCCTCTCTGCCATGGTTCCTGCTGCAGCTCTGATCTGAGGCCAGGGGGATGCGTCCACAACCTCCCGTGGCCCTATCCAGGTTCCAGAGGCCTGGAAAAGATCTATGGCTGCAGAGCAATTTTGTGTCCCGATCCAGGCTCTGGAGGCCTGGAAAAGGCATCTGCCACCCGGATCTATGGCCACAGAGTGATTTTGTGCCCCTCCTGTGGCCGGTCTGGGCTCTGGAGGCCTAGAAAAGACCTCCAGAGCCCAGATCCATGGCTGCGGAGCAATTCTGTGCCTCCCGTGGCCCGATCCAGAGGCCTTTTCCAAACCTCTGAGTGGTTTTGTGCCCCCTGTGGCCCGATCTGGGCTCGGAGGCCTTTTTCAGGCCTCCGGAGCCTAGATCAGGCCATTGGAAGGGGCGCAAAAACACTCCACAGGTATAGATCCAGGCTCTGGAGGCCTTTTCCAGGCCTCTGGAGCCCAAATCATGCCATGGAGGGTGCAAAATTGCTCCATAGCAATGGATCTGGGCTCTAGAGGCTTGGAAAAGGATTCCAGAGCCCGGACCGGGCCACTGGAGGGCCACGAAATCACTCTGCAGCCATAGATCAAGGCAGCAGAGGCGTTTTCCAGGCTTCTGGAGCTCCAATCCAGTTTCCGGAGGCATGTCGAAGCATCCCCCAGCTTCGATTTTGTTCTCTGTTGCAGAGAACAGAGGCCTAAAGTACCATGAGATCACACAAGATAAATACTGTGAGATCTTGCTCCACTGATCTCGCGTCATCTTGCATTATTTTAGGCCTCCATTCTCCTGCAAACACACTGAAGGCCTGGAGCAGCCAAGAAAATGAAGATTCTCTATCTTCGCAGGATACTAAAGGCCTGGTGCCTAGGGAGACCCGTGGCGGGGACAGGGAGGGAAAAAATATCCCGGGTGAGTGCTGCAAAGCCATTGAGGTCACTTGTAAGGATTAACGACTGCTATGGTGCTGCAATACTTGTAATTTCAGGAGTTGCTCATAAGCATTAGGGGGCACTCATCATGTAACTTTGAACAAGCATTAAGTGAACACTCATAACTCTGGGATTACCTGTAGTTCTGTTTTCTCTCTGTTGCTTGTCCCCTTTTTGCCACTTTCTCCCACTAATTGACCAATCATTTCCTTAACTTTTTTCTTGTTTTTTACATGTTTTCCCCTTTTTTAAATTATTTTTAACTTTTGTTGCAAGCCTTAGTTCATTTTGAGCCTTAGCTTTCCTCACTTCATCTTTGCAGGCTTGTGCTATTTTCTGATATTCTGCCTTAGTTATGTGCCCCTCTTTCCACTTTTTATACTTGTCCTTTTTGTCTTTCAATTTATCAGAGAGTGCTGGTTTCTTTTGAGAGCTGTTATTTTTCTTTTTTGTTGGTATTGTGCTAGACTGGGCTTTTATAATCTCACTTTTCAAAATTTCCCAAACTTCTTGAGTTGTTTTCCCCTTGAGGATTCTCATCCATGGAATCCTTCCCAAGGTCTAAGTTTGTTGAAATTAGCTCTCTTAAAGTCCAAGACTCTAGTTTGATTGTGTTCTATTGCTTGTGCTTGCATAATGTTGAATTCCAATATTGCATGGTCTTTCCCCCTCTGCCAAGGTTCCTGTAGTTTCAACACCTTCTCTCATTTTGTATCTCTGTTAGTGAAAATTAAATCCAATATGGCTGATCCCCTAGTTCCCGTTTCTACTTTTGAGAGACAAAGTTGTCTGTTAGGTTTATCAGAAAGCTGTTTGATCTTCCACTTGGTGCAGAGTTTTTCTCTCACTTGATGTCAGGTAATTAAAGTTCCCCATTACTATTGTGATGTGCTTCCTACATACCTTAGTTAGCTGACTAGCAAAAAGTTTATCTATTACTCTATTTCTGTAGAGATGTTATTTCTTATATAGACAGCAATTCCTCTTTTATTTGGTCTGTTTCTTTTAAATAATTTAAATCCGTCTAGCTCTGTGTTCCTTTTGTGGGTTTTATCCCACCTAGTTTCCGTAATGGCAACAATATCATATCTGCCCTCATTTACCTGAATTTCTAATTCACCCTGTTTGTTGCTCATGCTCTGTCCATTGGTATATAGACATATAGACATACTATTAATATACAGTCATGTTGGAAGCACTGAAACATTTTTGGGTTGAAAAGATTTGAATGGCAGCGTCATCATTGCCTGTGGACTCCCAGTTGGTGGCTCCTTTCAGGTCCCTGTTAAATTGCCCACAGAAGTGGTATCCATCTCTCTACTCCCAGTCACCTCCATTCAAACTGCTGGGTCAGCAGGAGCTGGAACATGTAACAGGAGCTCATCTTATCCCATGGCAGCAACCAGGTCTTGAGTGCAAGCCTGCTAATTGTCAGCCCAGCATCCTTATGAATCACCACAATATTTACATAATGCTGCTAAATATTATTCTTACAGCAATGTGTGTACATTATCTCACTCCTAATACCTATGAATTCTTTTCTTTTTCACTTGAGCTACAACTAAACTTTTAACCACCATTTAGTCATCTTGAAGTTAGTTGGCTTCTGTTGCTATCAGCTACTCTTCGGCTGCTGAAGTGCTTTGCAGTCTGTCAGACTGTATTGGAATAAAGAGAAGGAAGATAGTTCACCAGTTGATGGCTGTCTATAAGCTGTCAACATCTCTGCTGGAATGGAGAAGCTGTGATTCCACTTCCACTTTTAGTTCTTCTGTTGATAGCTTGCTGGAATTCACTCTTTCATTGAAAGGCCCCACTATATTGCACTTTATCTTGACAGCTGTTCCACAGTCTCACCTGTGACTTCTTTCTCTTCTGCCAAACACATCCAGACTCATGTTATTGCATTTCCATTTTGTAATTGCAGACTAGGTGTGCTACTCAGAGTATCTTGAAATCCCATGGTAAGAAAAAAAATAAACAGAAAGATATGCTCATTTTGATACCTGGGTATCCTTCCATATGCAGAAATTTCATTTCAGTTTTCATATGTGGGAAAGCCTATTATTATTACACTATTAGACTTTATGCTTTCTCTTGTTTAGGTCTAAATTATCAGAAAAATCTGTTTTTGTTTTATTATAGCATGTATTAAGAAATATGTTTATCATATATTTTCTTAGTGATACTACAGATATTCCTTATACACATAAAGAATCAATGTTCATACAAAAAGCTGTGCTGGATCAGATTAATGATTCCTTCTAATCTATCACTTTGTGTTTCACCGTAATTGTCAGAGTTTATATTAGACACATAATAATAAATTATCCAGAAATTCAGTTTCAAATTTATAATAGCATACATTTCAGAGATTTCACATAGCTAGATCTGCTTCACTGCAGATAAGAAATACATCAAATATACACAGATAATTG